TAGATTCATCAAGGACTGCCTAGGCTTTCGGCTCTTTTATATACATTCCTGGAATTTTAATTAGTTTTTAGGGACTGGGGGAATATATTCAATGTAAAAGTCAATAAAAATATTCAGCATCCTTGTTTCAATTTAAAAACTTACAATTTCCGAACACCAACTTTCGCTAATGCATTTAAGCAATCAGGCTTCAAAGTTTCTTAAACTTTGCCCACCTTAACCCGCTTCAGAGTAGGAATGTGGGCTTCAGACAGCATACAGTCATACATTGCAACCAGCACCTAAGGAGAACTGAATTACATACAAGGTGGCAGAGGAACATTGGTCTGCCTCCTCATTTAATGTCCAACAAAAAACATAGTGTCTGTACAACAACATCGACATTGTTTCAGTTGTTGGCCAAAAAAAATTATGTCCATAACACTAAGTATGTACAAATGTACGTTCATACTCTTGAGATACATGAACAACACCAACAACAGCAACTAGAACAACAACAAAAAAGTAAAAACGATGTAAAAGTATTATTGTAATGTTCTAAATTTAGGCTGCTCAAACTGGAGGAACCAGTTTCCTGATAATCTGGGTGACGACGACGTCGACAACGCCGATCACCAGTCGGGAACAACAACAACGGCCCAAGGAGGGTTAGATAGATGATGGGAGGATGGATGTCAGCCAGCCAGCGAACAATGGTGGTGGTGCTGGTTGCCTCACTACAAGAACTCGAACTATGCGAATGATGCCATTCGCGATGATCTGTTTTAAAACACAAAACAACAGCGCTGTGCCCAGTGGTCGTTCACAAGCGGACACACGCCAAGCTCAACACGTTATTTGGCCGCAAAAAAAAAAAAAAAAAAAAAAAACGCAGAGAAAAAAGCACCAAAACATCCCAAGCAGAAAATTCAAACCCATCATGTCTGTGGCATGATGGGCAGACATTCTTTTCGGTTTTGTTTTCGAAGTTATCGCGCGCGCCTTTAGCAAACGAAAATATCGCTGCGTTGCGCAAATGATGACGTTGATGATGACCACCAGCTGTAAAGGCGTAGCCGTAACCAATGTGGGAGTAGATTTGTGTAAACAAACTTGGCAGCGAAGAAACGATAGCTGGGCCAGATATATTGTTCTGAAGTAAAACATTTTCAGTCTCCATTCATACAATAAACTAATTTTCCAGATAAGTGAAAATATTTGTTTCCTTTATGCGGATATGTATATCTAAACGGAAACAATGCGTAATTTTATTCCACAAAGAATCCGTATTGCTTACGATTTCATTGAAAATATTCATTAATGATTAGGAATTTCAATGAATCTGTAAACAATAACAATTCGAAATATATAAAAAAATATAGATATTTGATTAATTGAACACAATTTCTCCTCCTTTTCATGCATAGTATGGAGGGTATATAAGGTTGCTCATTCCATCGAAATACTAGTCGTAGACATAACAAAGTATATGTTTTCTTGATCAGCGTAAAATTCTAAGACGATTTGGTCTGTTCGTCCGTCCTTCTGTTGTAATCACGCTAGAGTCAAAACGAATAAAGATAGGTTGCTAAAATGTTGCACAGGTGAGTCTTTTGTCTGCAGGAAGGTCAAATTCGAAGATAAGCTACACCCGTCCACTATATTCTCTAGCTTCCCCGATATTCGGTATTTTGACGATTTTAGCATAATTTTCAATGGAATTATATTAAAATTCACACAAGAAGTTCCTTCTAAGTACTTTAACACCCTGGAAGAGAATTGTCTATATAGGTGCACGACATCGGATAGCCTCCATAAAAAAATGCCCCGCGATATTCGGTATTTCGATAATTTTAGAGACATTATTTAACGGAATTGTTTCTAATTTCGTATTCAGAGTTCGTAATGGGTACTATAGCCTAGTACAAACAAGTAAAAAAACATTAAGTTCGGCCGGGCCAAACTTTTAATACCCTCCACCTTAGGGTAAAAGAAACATTAGAAGAAATGTGGCAAAAACCATTAAAATGCCGATTATGGGGAGGTACCGTTATATGGGGGCTATACCAAAACGTGGACCTATAATTACAATGTTTCGCCACCGGAGCTGGAACCCATTATGACCCACAAATACCAATTTTTAGACAAATCAGTGAAAAAATGTGGCAAAAACCATCAAAATACCGAATATCGGGAGGTACCGTTATATGGGGCTATATCAAATCATGGACCCATGCATGCAATGTTTCGCCACCGAAGCTGGAACCAATTATGACCAACAAATACCAATTTTCGAACAAATCCCTGAAAAAATGTGGCAAAAATCATCAAATTACCGAATATCGGGAGGTACCGTTATATGGGGGCTATACCAAAACGTGGACCTATAATTACAATGTTTCGCCACCGGAGCTGGAACCTATTATGACCAACAAATACCGATTTTCAGACAAATCCGTGAAAAAATGTGGTAAAAAAACTAAAATACTAAATATCGGGAGGTACCTTTATATGGGGGCTATACCACAACGTGGACCTATACATGCAATGTTTTGCCACACGCTCAGGGACCCGCTATGACCTACAAATACCAATTTTAAGACAAATCCGTGAAAAAATGTGGCATAAATCATCAAAATACCGAATATCGGGAGGTACCGTTATATGGGGATTATACCAAATTATGGACCCATACATGCAATGTTCCGCCACCGGAGCTGGAAACCATTATGACCCACAAATACCAATTTTTAGACAAATCGGTGAAAAAATGTGGTAAAAAAACTAAAATACTAAATATCGGGAGGTACCTTTATATGGGGGCTATACCACAACGTGGACCTATACATGCAATGTTTTGCCACACTCTCAGGGACCCGCTATGACCTACAAATACCAATTTTAAGACAAATCCGTGAAAAAATGTGGCATAAATCATCTAAATACCGAATATCGGGAGGTACCGTTATATGGGGACTATACCAGAACGTGGACCGATATATCTCATTTTCAATACCAACCATCCTAGACACAATGCAAATAGCTCTGCTAAATTTTGGAGCTCTACGTCAAATAATGTGGGCTGTATCGTGATTTCAACAGACAGACGGACAGACAGACAGACGGACAGACAGACAGACAGACAGACAGACAGACGGACATCGTTAAATCGACTTAGAATTTTATGCTGATTATGAATATATATACTTTATGGGGTCTAAAACGAATATTTAGGGATGTTACAAACGGAATGACAAAGTTAATATACCCTCCTTTCCAAGGTGGAGGGTATAAAAATATGGAGGACCAAGTCTTCGAATAGGCCCCCATATAACGAATAGGCCCCCATATAATATTCTGTATTTTAATGAGACATTCGGTATTGTAGAGACATTATTTACCCGAATCGTTTAAAATTTCGTAATTAGAGTTCGTAATCGTTACTATAGCTTAGTACAAAAAATATGGAGGACCAAGTCTTCGAATAGGCCCATATAACGAATAGGCCCTCATATAATATTCAGTATTTTAATGATTTTAGCTACATTATTCACCAGAATAGTTTCAAAGTTCATATTTGAAGATCCCAATAGGTACTACAGTCTATGACAGAAATATAGCGTATAGCCCCCATATAACGGTACCTCCTAATATTCGGTATTTTTATGATTTTAGCGTCATTATTCACCAGAATTGTTTCAAATTTGGTAGGGCCACGTCTTCGTATAGTTCCCATATATCGGTACCTCCCTATATTCGTTATTTCGATGATTTTAGCCACATTCTTCATCGAAATGTTTTATACCCTCCACCATACTATGGAGGGTATATTAACTTTGTCATTCCGTTTGTAACTCCTCGAAATACTCATGTCAGATCCAACAAAGTATTCTTGATCAGCGTAAAATGCAAAGTCAATTTTGCGATGTCCGTCTGTCTGTTGTAATCACGCTATCTTTCCAATGAATTAAGATAGAAGGCTAAGATTTTGCATACATGTTTTTTTTCCAGTTGGCAGGTTAAGTCCGTAAATGGGTCATGTGGGTCCATGTTTCCATATAGCCCCGTATTTTGTATTTGAAGTTCGAAATGGATACTACAGCCTATGACAGAAAATTATCTGTACAGGTCCACGTCTTCGTATAGCCCCTATATAACGATGCCTCCCAATATTCGGTATTTTGATGATTTTAGCGTCATTATTCACCGGGTGTGCTTCAAATTACATATGTAGAGTTCGTAATGGGATCTACAGTCTGTGACAGAAAATTGTTTATGCAGGTCCAGGACTTCGTACAGACCCCATATATCAGTACCTACCTATATTCGGTATTTTGACGATTTTAGGTGCATACCCACCGAAATTGTGTGAGATGTCATATTTGAAGTTCGTAATGGACGCTACAGCCTGTGACAGAAAATTGTCTATGCAAGTCCAGGTCTTCGCAAAGCTCCGATATAACGGTACCTCCCTTTATACGATATTTTGATGATTTTAGCTACATTATGCACCGTTTATTTCAAGTTTCGAATTTGAATATGAAGGTCTACGTCGTATAGACCCCAATATAACGGCTATATTCGGTATTTTTAAAATTTTAACAGAATTTTTTAAGGATTCTATTTTTTAAAAATTTCCAAATTCGTTCCAAATGGTGGAGGGTATTCAAAGTTCGGCCCGGCTGAACTTACTGCTTTTTAACTTGTTCAAGTTTCATATTTGAATATTTTAATGGCCTATGCAGGTCTACTTCTTCGAGTAGACCCCAATATAATGGCAACTCACTATATTCGATCTTTTTAAGATTTCAACAGAAATTTTAACGGATTTTATTTTTTTTCGAAAATTTTAAAATTCGTGCCAAATGGTGGAGGGTATTCAAAGTTCGGCCCGGCTGAACTTACTGCTTTTTAACTTGTTTTTATCACACCCTGTAAAATGTCTTTGATAAAACTGCAGATGAAAATAATATAAATAGTTTGGTAAAAAATAAAAATAACCATAAACTGTCACTGTACAATCGCGGGAGTTGGCCGTGGAGAATGGACTGTAGCGGTGTAAATATTTGCGGTGGTAACTCTTGTGATTGTAATTGATATTTAGAAAAGAAAAGGCAATTGATTTTTTAAGCGGTGGAGCAAATAGAATTTTATTCTTGTTCTGAACGGTTTGACTGCTTTAATCCAAGTAATAGAAAAATGGCTGTGCAGATTGTGCATCAGACATTTTATAAATATGTAACAAAAGGTATTGAATACAAGAAATGGTAGCCTGAACCATTGAGTGAAAACTTAAAGGGTTTTAAGGTTGCCATATTTTGACGGTTATCTTACGTTTAGATTTGAATTCAATGTGATTTATACTTAAGCTATTTTAAATGCAATTATAATTCAAGATATTTAAACGATTTGCTTGGAGTTCATTATACTTAATACTACGTTGTTGAACGCGGTTCAACATACCGCCCCCTTTTGCTGGACTGCAACTTCAAACTTGGCAGCTTCCGGATATGATCCAACCGAAGGCTGAACTTTGGGCAATTGGCATGTTGGTTGTGGTTTGAATTAGGCCGGCTCTTAGAATTTTTGGAATTTGATCGTTTGCTATCATGATTTCTATATTGATAGGGTTAAAGAAATGTGGATCTGCCAGATCCGTTAGGTGGTTGTATATTGATAGGTGCTTTTTATCTTTCGTCGATTCCGGGGTGCTAATGTGCAATGGATTTTGGACTTCGCCAGTGATGTGTATTTTAACGGACTCGTCATGGAAAGATTGCAAGTTTATGGCAGTAAAAGTCTTTCCAGCCCTCTGTGTAAGTGGTAACTGAAGTCGCTCCACCAATTTGGTTGAAATTGCAGTTTGCGTTGATCCTGAGTTCATCAGCAATCGGACTTTGTCGCAACCTTCTACAGTAATCACCTTTGCAAGAGCTGTGGGTAAAAACACATGCGATTTGGTTCGAGAACTTAGTCTGTCACTAACGTTGGAGTGACGGCGTTGCGTTGATGTTGAAGTAGATCGTTTTGATGTGTGGGCTGATGGACGGTTTTGTTGTTTCGCTGGACGACTTTGTTGGTTTTTGGCGGTTGGAGGTTCAAGGCTGCAACTTCGTGATGATGAGCGGTTTTTTGGGGTCGATTTGGAGGAGGAATGATTGTTGGGTTTAGCATCGATGTGTAGCAAGGTATGATGACCCTTATGACATACCATGCAAGTTTTACGGCTTGGGCACCATTCGCGGGTATGAGCCGTACACAGACAATTGAAGCAAAAACCTTTTTGACGTGCCTCATGTCGACGTTTTGTAACGCTCATATTTTGGAAAGTAAGGCATGATTTTATAAAGTGCCTCTCGTGGCAGATACGGCATTTGGGCAAGCTAGAAACGTTACTGAAATGTAAAAGGTTATTAAATTTGTGAGCAAGGGGGAAAAGTTAACAATTGGGGAGAATGCATAATTTTACAAGTGGGCGTACTATGATCCCGTTTTGCGTGCGAATTTCTGCTACACGAACCCTTGAATCTTTTCCGGCAAACACTCTAACCACGCGTCCAAGTCGCCATTCCGTCGGGGGAAGATTATCTTCTTTGATGACGACGAAATTATCTGGGGCAAGATCTCGTTGCGTTCGTTTCCATTTGTATCTACGTTGAAGATTTGTTATATACTCGTTCTTCCAGCGTTTGGCAAAGTGTGATTGGAGAGTTTTTAATCGTTGCCATCGATTCATCAGAGATAAATTATCAGAGGATGGTTCAGGAGTCGCAATAAGAGGAGCTCCTCTAAGTAGGTGGCCAGGAGTCAGCGGTACTAACTCGCTAGGCTCTTCATTCAACGGTGACAATGGTCGAGAATTTAGAATACTCTCAATTCTGATTAGTAATGTGGAAAACTCTTCATATGTATATTTCAGTTTTCCCGCTACCTTCTTTAAATGGGCTTTCATACTTTTAACGGCAGCTTCCCATAAGCCACCCATATGTGGGGCGTGAGGCGGTATAAAGTGCCAAGTGAAACCATGGATGTTGTATTTTGAGACTAAATGTTCTTCAGCGGAGCGTAGAAAAGTCTTATAGTCTTTAGCTAACGAACGACTGGCACCAACAAAGTTGGTTCCATTGTCTGAAAATATTTGTTTAGGAAGGCCTCGTCGGCCAACAAATCGACTGAATGTTGCCAAAAAGGCTTCAGCAGACAATTCGGAGCAGACTTCTAAATGAATTGCTCGTGTCGACAGGCAGACAAAAATTGCGGCATAGCCTTTGTGCAGTCTTGCATTTCGAAGGCGTGAGGTTTTGAGGTCGAAAGGACCGGCAAAATCAAGACCTGTATTGGTAAAGGGGAGGGAAAAAGTACAACGCTCAAGGGGTAAGGCGGCCATAATTTGGTTTTGAATGTGATGTTTGTAGATGGTACATGTTCGACAATTATGAATGCATGAACGAACGGCACTTTTCAATCGGATTATATAAAACTCTTGTCGAATTGCCCGTATCATTAGCTGATGTTCAGCATGAAGTAGCAAAGTGTGTGTGAATTCAATCAGCAACTTGCAAAATCTTGACTTTTCCGGGAGGATAATCGGATGTCGTTCATTGTACCGTGCATCAGAATTGGCCAAGCGACCATTTACTCTCAGTAACATATTTTCATCTAGAGTAGGATTCAAGGTTAATAGTCTGCTCTTAGTTGGTATTGGTTGGTTTGAGACGAGTGCCTGATATTCCCATGGGTAATGTATCCTTTGTGCCAATCGTATGAGGTAGTATTTGACGAAGGATATTTCATGTGCAAGTAAAATGTTTTTCCGCAATCCAGATGGGTTATTTCGGCGACACCCATTTATGAAGCGAAATGCATAAGCAAAGACTCGTAGGACTCGGTTGAGTGATGAGAAATCTTCTAGGAGATCATCTTCAACAACTTGGGCGTGCATGGCAAATACCTTCTTTTCAAGTTCTGGTTCTTTGAGAGAGGCGGGTTTTGGCCAGTGTTGTGGTTCCTTTGCTAACCAATGTGGTCCATTCCACCAAAGACTACATGCTTGAAGTTCTTCAGCTGTACAGCCTCGAGTGCCAAGATCCGCAGGATTATCAGCGGATGCAACATGTCTCCAGTTTGCATTTCTCACATTATCGAGAATTTCAGACACTTTATTGGCCACAAAGGTCTTCCAGTAAAAAGGCGGTTTGCTAATCCACGATAGGGTGATTGTTGAGTCAGTCCACAAGAATATTTCGGGAGAGGAAAGCTCCAAATTTTGACAAACAGATTTTAAAAGTTTGGATAACATCGCTGCTCCACATAATTCTAACCTCGGTAGGCTCACAGTTTTTAATGGAGCTACTTTGCTCTTGGAAACAAGAAGATTGGTATAAGTAATATTTTTTGAGGATTTAACACGTATATACAAACATGCACAATATGCCTTCTCTGAGGCATCACAAAAACCGTGAATTTGAATTTCAGTCTCGGATGAAAAATGTACCCAACGAGGAATTTTAATATTCTCGATGTCCGCAAATTTGGAAATAAAGGCATTCCACTTTTCGAAGGAATGTGTTGTTACTTCTTCATCCCAATTAGTCCCATCAATCCAAAGTTGTTGCATTAAAACTTTCGCGACTACAATTATGGGTGTTAACCAACCAGCAGGATCGAACAATTTTGCAACGATTGACAAAACTTTACGTTTTGTTATGGCAACAGTGGGTAAATCGAAATGTGTCACCTTATAGAAGAAATAATCATATTTGGCATTCCATTGAATACCCAAAGTTTTTGTTTCACTGACATCTTCTAATCGTAAGAAATCTTCGCTAAGAAGATCCTCCGGGGGAAGATTCAGGAGTATTTGAGGATGGTTTGACGTAATTTTCTTCAAAGGAAATCCAGCGGATTTTAACAAGTCAATTACCTCATGCAGATAGGACTTTGCTTCAGTTAACGAATGTGCTCCCGATAGTATGTCATCCACGTAAATCTGACTCTTGAGAATGTTCGATGCCGTTGGATGTGAGTGTTTATTGTCATCGCTAAGTTGGAGCAAAGTTCGTATCGCCAGGTATGGTGCACAATTTACCCCAAAAGTAACAGTTTTTAAACAGTAGTCTTCAACTTTTTCTAACGGAGAAGACCGAAACAGAATTCGTTGAAATTGTTGATCTTTCTCATGCACAAATATTTGGCGGTACATTTTTTGTATGTCGCCATTGAAAACATATTTGAAGAATCTCCAGCGTAAAACAACGTTAGTGAGTTCATTTTGTAGTGTGGGACCAGTATAAAGTATGTCATTTAGTGAAACCCCGTTGTCTGTTCTTTTAGATGCGTTAAATACGACTCTTACTTTCGTTGAAGTTCTATCGGGCTTTACGACAGCATGATGTGGCAAGTAGTATGAACGAAAATGGAGATTTTCAGAAATCTCAAATTTTGTGGTTAACTCCATATGACCCAAAGTAACATATTCAGAAAGTACTTTATTGTATTCTCCTGCTAGATCTGGATTCTTTTCTAGCGTCTTCTCTATCCTTAGGTATTGACCCATAGCGGCAGATCTAGAAGAACCGAGATATTTGTCCGATGGTAAGTCCTGTTTGAATGGTAACCTTACCACATATCTACCATCTGATCTTCGTTGAACAGTTCTTTTATAAAATTCCTCGCACCAGATATCAGATGCTGACAAAGTTTTTTCGTTGGAAATATTTTCTATTTCCCAGAATTTTCTTAGCTCCTCACTCAGTGGATCATATGTGGCCGTCCAGGAGGCAAATGAAGCAATAAGCTGGCAATTTGGTTTCCCACTGACTATCCATCCGAATTCGGTACATTGTGCCAACAGATTTCCAGAAATATTTTTCTTTAATCCTGGTTTTATAATGCTCGGCAATATGTCACTACCAATAAGCATGTCGATGGGAGCTGGTTTGAAAAATTTGGGATCAGCCAACTCTAATCTCTTTAAAGTTGTGAAGTCGGATATTACGGTAGGGGAGGCTGGCATTAAATGATTTAGATTCGAAACAACAATTGCGGAAGTAGCTATCTTAAAGTCTGACTTTCTGGACTTTAGAGTTACTTGACAACTTTTTGACGAATTTTCAAGAAGAGTTCCGCCAAGACCTGAAATCTTTGTGAATGATTTCTTAGTCGGAATGTCAAACCGATTTATTATTCGACTAGAAATGAATGTTTCTTGTGACCCTTGATCAATAAATGCCCGAATTGTAAACAAAAAGCCTTGGTGTTCTAGATCAATTAATGCAGTTGGCAAAACGGTTCTTTCTCCAGATTGTGAGAAATGGGATTCAACATAGGACATTTCATTATAAGCGGAGGAGGCAGCTTCAGAAGTGGTCGGTTTTTCATCTTCAAATGTTTCAACAAGGTAAGCGGAGGCTGATTTTGGCTTTTGCCAATTTTGATTGGAGACATTTGAAACAATTATCTTCTTGTTGCTTTCATCAGGGTGTAATAAGGTGTGGTGAGATTGCCGACATGATTGACAGCGATGTTCACTTTTGCATTTTTTGGCAATATGACCATAGGAAAGACAATTTTCACAAATTTTATTATCGAACACAAATTTCCTTTTGTCTGAAAGAGGCCATGATCGGAATTTTGAACAATTTCTTAAAGGGTGGTTTTGTTTGCATACTTTACATGCTTTCGGAGAACCTTCCGTAGAAGTATTGTATGCGGAAACTTTCTGAGACGTGGATGAATGCGGTTTTCGTATATCAGAAACCGATTCAATCATATTTAAACGTTTGGTGATAAACTCATCTAATTGGTCCCATGAAGGCATTTCTTTATTGTTTGACAGAGAACTTTCCCATGCGGTTAAGGTATCTTCAGGTAATTTGGATGAGACCCAATATACTAAGATTGGATCCCAAGATATCACGGATATATTATAAGTACGCAGCACAGATAAACAATTATTAATTGTATACTGAAGATTTCTTAGGGATTTCTCTTTCTCTACCGACACATGTTCAATTTGAAATATTTTTCGCAATTGATGATTGATCAGAATACGCTTATTTTCAAAGCGTTGACGCAAAGCATTCCATGCCAGTTCGAAATTGTTATCCGTTAAGGAAAATCTTTTTACAATCATACTTGCTTCCCCTTTTGTTTTTGCCCGCAAGTGAAACAATTTTTGCGCAGGTGACAATTTGGTATGGTTTATATAAACGGCGGAAAACATATCCCTGAAACTTGGCCACTTATCGTAGCCACCACTGAAGAATTCAGTGTCACAAGGCGGTAGTTTCAATGAAAAAACTCTATCAGTGTGGGAAACATTTTCTTCTTTTGATATCGGTTCGGAATTCAGGAATTTTTGGTTCTCGATTTGAATTAAATCTAGAATTGAGGATTTACATTCTTTGTAAGATCGGCAGCACTCGGTAAATTTACCATGTATTTCCCCTCTAGCATCTTTAGTTACGGTGGGATCGGAAGAAGTCATTTCATTTTCATATATCTGAACAAGTTGACGCCACCGTCTTTCTAAGTCATCAAGTTCAACCTGAAGGCTAGAGGCAGTGTGGTCCTGAACGGGTATTTGAGCAAAATCAGCACAGAATGTGACCACTTGGTCTGAGAAAAATATAAATTTCTGAGGAGCGAGGTCACCCGCATTACCCATATTGGGAGAGGTCATAATGATTTTCGAAACAAAAAAATCTGGCAACTATAATTCTCAAAAGGATTTTACTCAATAAATTGAAGATTTTTCAACGATATAAAAATATTCTTTGTTGAATATTTAAAACTGAACAATCTGCAACGTTAAGCTTGAGAAAATAAATGAGGGATTTAAACCTCGTAATCGTCAACTGATGTTTGCCGTAGTTACAGTCTAAGCAAATATCGTGAAAATTTTGTCGAAGTTTAACGCAATGAGAAAAATGAATAATGGTTCGCTTGTAACAACCTTGCTATTAGAAAATCACCGATTCAGAAAACTCTAGAAAATTACAGAGAAACATCGAACTATATTAGTTGCACCCAGAAGTTTGCTTATGGACAAATGTAGACTTTGCTCTGAATTTGTGTATCAAGTTGTAAATAGAGATACAAATTCTCGATAATTTAAAATGATTGGTAATATTCTGAATGGAAAATAAACTTATTTTTCAGTTTACCTTGTTTATATTCGTATATCTTTCTAATTTTATTTCCCAATCGTTCAATTTCAGAGAATGGTCAAACTGCGCATGCGTTGGAAAAATAGTAACTCTTGTGGTCAACAGTAATACAGCCACACAAGAAGAATTTTTCTTTTAGATATGTTCTTCCTTCGTGATCGCTCTTCGTTTGAAACCGGAACGAGTATGATTTCAATATAAGTTTAGACACATAAATTCTCGCCTAAATTTTTAATTGTTTGAAAATGGAAAGCGTTTTAAATCAATCAACAATGTTTAAGCCAAATTGTATTTTAGATAATTTTTCTTGCATAACTCCTGGTTTAATGATTTAATGAAGGGATTGAAAGCTTGTTTGAAGCGATGTGTTTTTTTTTTTTTTTTTTTTTTTTTTGTATGCAGACAACTTTGATTTATCGAACTTACTCTAGCACAACGCTCGAACTAAATCAAAAACAGCTTTTCCAAAACTGTTCCAATATTTATTCAATTGACGTTAACCCAAACAAATTTTTCAAAATGGCAAGAATGAAGGGTTAAGTGATATATTTTGGTATCTTGCAATGCTAGTGTGCTAATTATTATGATTGTTGTTTACTTTTTTGACCTCTATTTTAAGAAGTTAAGTTATAATATTTCTGTTTAGATTCCTTGAGCAACGCTATAAGTCAGAAATATGTTGACTTTATGAGATTCTGTCTGTTGAAGCTTTGCAATATATTGCAATACAGATGACGTTTTTACTTGATTTACAAATTAAGGTTTTTTATATAGGTAAACAAACCCAGCTATGTAACAAATCGATCAATATTTAGAACTAGTGTGGAGATATAATGCACCAAATCTTTATTCGTTTTCAAAAGGTAAAGGCAAAGTATGTCAGAGAGCTTTAATGTTGGTAGAGCGTTGTTACTAACAGACAACTGGTAATAATATTTGTTTGCATATAAATAAACGTAGTAACGTCGTTGTTACTGTAAGTTAATGTCAAACGTAAATGAAAGGTAACTTCAAATGCTCCTACCTTACCTGTTATACTTCATAAATAGTGCATGAGAATGTAAACATCAAATTAACCAACTGTCATCTCTTTCCTCTTTTCTTTTTGCTATACTTTGCACCGTTTCTTTCGCAATAGGGAATCTGGTTGGTTGTTGTAAATTTTGAGTTGTTGTTATGCTTATTTTATGCTTGATTCGTGTTCTAAATGATATTTGTTTTTTTTTTTGTTTTTTTTTTTTTTTTTTGGGTGAAGAAATAGATATGTCTTTTGTTTTGAGGTGTTTTAATATTTTATTTTGTAAAATAAAACAAAATTACCTTACTTTTTGTGTCAATGTGTTGCAGTGTTAATGTTTCCACTTTAGATTTGTTTCCGTTTGGTTTTATTCACCTCTGTGATTGCAACAATCTCCTTTTTAATTATTGTATTTGGGATTTTGCTTAGGTTTCACTTCTTTCCATAGATTTTTTTTTTGACGGCATTATTGTGTATTCCAATATAATGATTTGTTCCTTCTTTATGTCCATATTAGCTTTATAAATTTTGTTTGACGTACCAGCATTCTTTATTAATTCTAATTTAATAAAATAAATTCTTTCTTGCCGACACTAAAACGACTATCACTTGTCAAATAATATTTTAATTATTGTTCAACCTCTTTTGCAACCCACACTGACCATGTGGTTCAAGAAGAAATTCTGCTGGCTTTACAAGAGCTTAATGATACTACAAATATGAAATTGTTGTTGTAAAAAATGAGTACGCATGTGGTTACTGCAGCTGATGGGATAACATGTGCGCTCACTGATATGAGATCAATGCGTTTAGTTTTATTCCTCTGCTAAGGAATAACAACAATGTGATATCCAATCTGATGAATGTATGGAGAGCAATGACTGAGGCTTACTTAGCGACAGCGCTGTTGGGTATGGTGTTTAGTCGACAGAAGAGAAATGTATGTATGCGGTCTCCTTTAACAGCGACTGCGCCGTTTGATGTTAATGGCAACCAAAAATGAGTCTGGCGTACTTAACACTGTTAAGTTCTCAGCGACTCTGTTTGTGTTTGCTGCTCTTAAAGGAAGAGAGTATGTCGTTTGGTACTTCTAACAGTCGCCGTACCAATTTTTATTTTTGATGATTAAGAGTATGAGTTTTTTTTTACCTACAGATAGAGCAGTTGCCTAATTAAAGATTAATGCGTTTCAATTCCTCCAACAACCCAATATGTTGTTGGCTGTTGTTTATTGTCTTTCACTTTTTTTTTTTTTTTTTTTTTTTTTTTTTTTTTTTTTTTTGTGCAAAGGTGCTGTTATCCGTAATGTAATGACGAAGCGAATATTTTAAAGCAAATTAGAGGAATTAGATGCTGCTGCTATTGAGTCTGTTTTCAGAGCTCGATAAAGAGACAGTAATAGCGAAAAGCCGTAGATGAATAAATGAAAAAAAGACTACAAGAACAACTCCTGTTGTGAAATGATCCACTGGGCAGCAATAAAATTATGAAGAGTATTTTGTTATATACAAGTGGATGCAATATATGTTGCGTAATTTAAGCGGATAAGCAAACTGAAATTATTTGGTTTGCTCTTTCAATTGTATTTGCGGATGTATTTTTTTTGCGGGCCAACTTGTATCTTTACAAAAAGAAAGTTGACTTCAGCGACTTGGACATTTGTGGTTATAAATTGTAACAATGGTTCAAACTCACTTTTTTGTGTGAATTCAAACATCAACAAGAAACAAAACCCTATGTGCTCACAAATTAATAACAATTTACATACCCTTTATCCATGTCTTAATGAACTTCTTCTCCAGGAAATCTTCGAGTAAAGCGGTGGACGTAATCCGGATAATTTAAAAAACTTTCCAATTCCTTAGAGGCTCGAAGGACCATGTACAATCGCGGGAGTTGGCCGTGGAGAATGGACTGTAGCGGTGTAAATATTTGCGGTGGTAACTCTTGTGATTGTAATTGATATTTAGAAAAGAAAAGGCAATTGATTTTTTAAGCGGTGGAGCAAATAGAATTTTATTCTTGTTCTGAACGGTTTGACTGCTTTAATCCAAGTAATAGAAAAATGGCTGTGCAGATTGTGCATCAGACATTTTATAAATATGTAACAAAAGGTATTGAATACAAGAAATGGTAGCCTGAACCATTGAGTGAAAACTTAAAGGGTTTTAAGGTTGCCATATTTTGACGGTTATCTTACGTTTAGATTTGAATTCAATGTGATTTATACTTAAGCTATTTTAAATGCAATTATAATTCAAGATATTTAAACGATTTGCTTGGAGTTCATTATACTTAATACTACGTTGTTGAACGCGGTTCAACAGTCACCATTTGGAAAGAATTTGAAAATAAAATCCTAAATAAATTCGGTTAAAATTTAAAGTTAAAACAAGTATCTATACGACGTGGACCCACACAGGCATTGTTTGTCCTAAGTCATTACCAAATTCAAATTCGGAACTTGAAATAAACGGTAGCTAAAATCATCGAAATATCGTATATAGGGAGGTACCGTTATATCGTAACTGTGCGAACACCTGGACCAGAATAGACAATTTTCTGTCATAGGCTGTAGCATCCATTACGAACTTCAAATACGACATTTCACACAATTTCGGTGAGTATTGTACCTAAACTCGTCAAAATACCGAATATAGGTAGGTACTGGTATATGGGGCCTATACGAAGACCTGGACCTGCATAGACAATTTTCTGTCACAGACTGTAGTTTCCAATACGAACTCTTAGTGTGTAATTTGAAAAAATGCCGGTGAAAAATGACGCTAAAATCACCAAAAAAAAAAAACCAAATATAGGGAGGTACCGTTATATGGTGGCTATACGAAGACGTCGACCTGCACAGACAATTTTCTGTCTTAGGCTGTAGTATCTATTTCGAACTTCAAATACTAAATTAGAAACAATTCCGTTTAATAATGTCGCTTAAATCATCAAAATACCGAATATCGGGAGGTACCGTTATATGGGGCCTATATGAAAACGTGGACCTACATGGCTCATTTACGAACTTAACATGCCTACTGAAACATTAAACATGTGTGCAAAATTTTAGCCTTCTATCTCAATTCGTTCAAAATATATCGTGATTACAACAGACAGACGGACATCGCTAAATCGACGTAGAATTCTAATAAATAAATAATGAATAAAGTATGTATACACTTTGTTGGGTCTGACATGAGTATTTCGAGGAGTTACAAACGGAATGACAAAGTTAATATACCCTCCATGGTATGGTGGAGGGTATAAAAACTGCGAAAAGTCAAACGCCATAATTTTTATATGTTTTTTAAATTTTATTGAATGAAAGCAAAAAATATCGGAAATAGCATCAAATTTTAGAATAAGTTTAGATTTGTTCGAATTGGTCACCGTTGGCACGAATTATGGCGGTCAATGAAACCGTCTCACGCTGCTCGAATGTTGCTCTGCGGTATTTTGGCCTATTCCCGACGAAGCGCTTGCTTGAGGTGATCGACACATTGGTATTTTTTTAGTGCCAACCTTGCTTTCAAAATACTCCAGACACAATAGACCAACGGATTGGTATCCGGAGATTTTGGTGGCCATCGTGCGCTGGAAATGAAGCGAGGAACCTTATTTTGTAACCATTCTTGGATGGCTTAGTCCTGTTGGAATGTCCAAGGTCTGCGGCAGCCTCCAGAATAGTTTCGCGGTAATATTCGGCATTTGTTCTGATGTTACTGTGGATTAATACGAGCGGGGAGCGACCATCGTATTTTATTGACGGCCCACACCAACAACATGACCGGCGTTTGAGCTTTGGTGGCCAACCGAAGGTACACATTATCAGCTGACGATCACGATCATTTTGCTTATTTACAAACTGCTGGACAACGTATGTTTTCTCATCGGAGAAAACCAAGTTCGGCAGTTTACCACTTTTGACCAAGTGAAGTAACTCTTTAGCTCTTTTGAGTCTATTATCTTTCTGTTGCGGTGTAAGTTAATGCACTTTTTGGAATTTCAATGGCTTTACCCCGAGTTAATTTTTCAATATTTGCCGAATAGAATATTGCCATATGTTCAGCTTACGAGCCATTTGGTGTGGATCAAGTCATTTCTTTACTTTTCGAATCGTTTCTGCTGATGTTGCTGTTTTCTTCCGTCCACTTCCTTGAAGTCGGGCTACGCTACCAAAATCACGGTAACGAGCGATGCGATGCACAAAAGATTTATATCAGATTTATGACATGCATCTATAAATAATTTTATTATATATAGGTGCATGTTAAAATCGTGGACCTTTTATTACAAATACTTATTCTAAATGTGGTCACATGATGATGATATACATATACATTGTTGCCCATATTCGACGGACTCATGACTCTTTTAGCCCATTCCAATCGACGAGGCTTGTCCGCAGGCAACATTCTTTGCGTCAATTTAATTTTGTACGGAAACAAATGCAAATCAATGCGAATAATCCGTTGTAAAGTGGACCGAGCCATGCCCAACTGCTGAGAACGGCGATTTTGGGATGTTCTTGGGGACCTCTCAACACAGGCTCGTACGGCAGCGACATTCTCGGCCGATCGCCTTGGTCGACTTTTATATGGCCTCTTCGGATTAGAAAGAGCCTTACCAGTCGAAAATTTTTCGTATAAACGCTTAATGGTGTTCTTAGAAGGCGCACTTCTCACATTTTTTAATGTTTTAAAAGCACGTTGAGTTTTCACAATTGACTTCTTGTAAATTTCAACTATTTCAGAGCGCTCGCGTGGCGTGTATTGGTTCATGGTAAAAATCTGCTTGGACTGACGCTTCAAATGGGGTATGTCATTAAGCGATGTGACATCTCTGTCAAAAGTTATGGCGTTGCCAGATGGGTCCGTCGAATATGGACAACCCTGTATCTATCGAGAAACATAAGCATACTTTTTAACTTCAATACTAACTTTTTCCAACACATCATGGTCTGTTTTTATTCCGAAAAGGAAAAACGCTTATTTATCGTGAAGAAACAAATCTCCAAACTACCACGACCCTGGTCATGAAAACTTCGACCACATCATCATCATCAGCCAGCTAGCCAGCCGACCATCATCATTCCTGGGCGAATAGTCAGTCGTCTTCTTAATTTTTTGTTTGTCCACCAGCAACAGAAATGTCGTTCTTAATAGTCGTCGTTTGCTTCTTACCAAAAACCGAAAAAAAAACACCAACAACAACAACAGCGCCACGAAAAAATGGCAACGCAACAATAACACTGCCACCATTTATTTCTGCCACAATGATTTTGACCGAGAAAGTGGTTTTTGTTCTCTATTCAGTTTTCGGTTCGGTTCGATGTTGCACTTCTATGTCGACTTATTCATAATGCAGCGAAGTTGTAAAGTAAACTGGTTTGTGTTGGGGTATTTTTTGTTCTTTCTTTCTTGGCATTTTTGTTGTTGCTGCTTTCGAAGTCCTTTTCTTGATTAATTGGCAATAAGTGAAATTTGTTTGTTCTCTCTCTCGCAAACTGTGTGAGCAAGGAAGGACAAGTCAAAAAAAAAAAAAAAAAAATATTTATAATGCCATTAGAGCAGTTCAGTTGTAAATAAGGTTGCGGTGTTGATTCCAAAGACAAAACCGGGGAAAGCACTTTAAGGGAAGAGAAGTCTTTTAAGAGAAGGGTGATTGTTTTTTATACCCTACACCAAATACAGGGTTGTCCATATTCGACGGACCCATCTGGCAACGCCATAACTTTTGACAGAGATGTCACATCGCCTAATGACATACCGCGTTTGAAGCGTCAGTCCAAGCAGATTTTTACCATGAACCAATACACGCCACGCGAAATAGTTAAAATTTACATTCAACAGAAGAAGTCAATTGTGAAAACTCAACGTGCTTTTAAAACATTAAAAAATGTGAGAAGTACGCTTTCTAAGAACACCATTAAGCGTTTATACGAAAAATTTTCGACTGGTCAGGCTCTAATCCGAAGAGGCCATATAAAAGTCGACCAAGGCGATCGGCCGAGAATATCGCTGCCGTACGAGCCAGTGTTGAGAGGTCCCCAAGAACATCCCAAAAATGCCGTTCTCAGCAGTTGGCCATGGCTCGATCCACTTTACAACGGATTATTCGCATTGATTTGCATTTGTTCCCGTACAAAATTCAATTGACGCATAGAATGTTTCCTGCGAACAAGCCTCGTCGATTGGAATGGGTTCAAAGAGTCATGAATCCGTCGAATATGGGCAACCCGTTAGTGGTAAGGGTATTATGTCTTTGTGCATTTGTTTGTAGCATGGAGAAGAAAGCGGGATAGACCCATAGTTACTTTTGAGGATCTCCATAGAATCACTTTCTGAGTTGATTTATGCATGTCAGTCCGTCCGTCCGTCCGTCCGTCCGTCTGTCCATGTATTCTTGTGAACAAAATGCAGGTCGCATTTATTATCCGATTGAGATGAAACTTTGGCCTAAGGACGAACCCTATTGAAATTGGAGATAAACGGTAAAAAATTAGATATAGCTCCCATATATATCTTCGACCGATTTGCCTTTTATTGTGCACCAAACGTGTAATACTAGCCCGAGTGGTATGGAATTCTGCACATACATTCAAATTAGGCCTGAAAATAAGTATGCCAAATTTGATCGAAATCGGTTCAGATATAGCTATAGCTCCCATATATATTGTTCATCCGATTTGTTATTTTTGTCCTCCGCAGCCGTAATATGCACTCTGTAACAACAATATTTGGGGAAATATATCAAATGCAGCTCAGAAATACCTTTGCTTAATTTTATCGAGATCGGTTCAGATTTAGATATAGCTCTCATATATAACTTCGTCCGATTTACCTTATATTGTGCACCAAACGTATAATATTTGCCCAAATGGGATGGAAATTGGCACATTAGTCTAGAAGGTAGTATGCCAAATTTGATAGAAATCGGTTCAGATATAGCTATATCTCCCATATATATTGTTCATCCGATTTGTTATTTTTGTTCTCCCCAGCCGCAATATGCACTCCGTAACTACAATATTTGGAGAAATATATCAAATGCAGCTCAGAAATATCTTTGCTAAATTTCATCGAGATCGGTTCAGATTTGGATATAGCTCCCATATATAACTTCGTCCGATGTTCCTTTTATTGTGCACCAAACGTCTAATATTTGTCCAAACGGGATGGAATTTGGCACTTACGACCGAATTGAGTCTAGAAGGTAGTATGCCAAATTTGGTTTAGATATACCTATAGCTCCCATATATATTGTTCATCCGATTTGTTATATTTGCTAACCACAGCCGTAATATGCACTCCGTAA